AGCATGGCTGGCTCAGGAATTCTGGGAGTTGAAGTCCACCAGTCATAAAAGGGCCAAGGTTGCCTACCCCTGCACTAAACAAATGGTTGTTGAGGACTACAATTTAGCCTCAGCTGTGGTTGTAAATTGAGGACTATCTGTACTTTGAAAAACCCTGATCTAAAGCATTTCAGACAGAGGACCACCCATCGTCAGTAGACATCCTCATTTGGCACTGAAAGACCCCCCCCCCTTAAACCTGCATTCCCACATGTAACTTATCACCAATTTCTTACACCCACGCAGGCCACCGAACTGCAAACTCTTTGCAAAGCTGCAGACTGACAGAGGTTACCACAAAGCTTGTGAGGCACCCGCGAGCTTTGCTAGATGGAGTTAAAGGTGTCGGGTGTACAGAATCATAAAAAGGTGAGAAATACTGAGCAGGGTGTCTTTAAAAAAAGAAATAATCAGGTGCCAGAAATGAAAGACTCTGCTATTCAGAAGCATCAATGGAGGGGGGGGGGGGGGAAGAGTAGCCATTTTGTCTTCAGAGAGGACACAGAAAGTTTGAACTACGAACTGGCTTTGAAGCAGTTTTTGCAGCCTAAGTTCTTGGCTCATTTTGGACTTCCCTTGTGGAGAAGTCAAGGGCCTACACAATTTTATATATATATTTTTTGGCTTCTCTTAAGCAGTATTTTCTCAACCTCAAAGGACTTTCTAAGATGTGTGGACTTCAACTCCCAGAATTCCCCAGTCTGTTCTCCAAAGCCCCTGAAGGCAGGACAAGAAGCAATGGATGGAAACTAATCAAGGAGAAAAGCAACCTGGAACTAAGCAGAAACTTCCTGACAGTGAGAACAATTAATCAGTGGAACTGCTTGCCACAAGAAATTGTGAATGCTCCAACACTGGAGGTTTTTATGAGGAGACTGGACAGCCACTTGTCTGGAATGGCATAGGGCAGGGGTAGGCAGGCAACCTTGGCTCTTTTATGACTGGTGGACTTCAACTCCCAGAATTCCTCAGCCAGCCATGCTGAGGGGACAGGGAGAGGTTTCCAAGCTGAGCCATGCTGGCTCAGGAATTCTGGGAGTTGAAGTCCACCAGTCATAAAAGAGCCAAGGTTGCCTACCCCTGGCATAGGGTTTCCTGCCTGAGCAGCAGGAGGGACTAGAAGACCTTCAAGGTCCCTTCCAATTCTGTTATTCTGTACTGTGTGTCTTAAATGTCGCCCAGGTTGAGAAACATTGGTCTTGAGTCTTGATCAAGGTTTGTCAGTGATGAAATTTACAAGTCACAGGACTCCACAGTCGTTTCGAAATAACGACGTTGGTCAGGGCGTTGGCTCTCCAGCTCAGAAGCCATATAATAATTCCTGAGGAGAACATCGCTAGAAAAGCCAAATAGTTTAATCAGGATCCCATCTTGGTTTGTCTGGATTTCTACAGGCCAGTTGTGGGGAGAAGTTCAACCTAAGCATGCTTTGCCTGTTCTTGAGCAGGGGGTACTAGAAAGATGATGATGATGATAATAGTAATAATAATAATAAAGTTGGAAGGGATCTTGGAGGCCATCTATTCCAACCCCCTGCTCAGGCAGGAAATCTATACCATTTCAGATCTTCAGACTTCTACAGAGCAGGAGAGAGAGAAACATGAAAACCATAGTGGCGAAAATAGTCCTCAACTTACGACCGTAATCAAGCCAGGAATGACGGTTGCATGTTGTGCTGGTCATTAAGCGGTCGCCATGGGACTGCACCGTTTTATGACTTTTTTGTGTGGGGGGGGCAGCCGTTAAGTGAAATCCCCGGAGGTTGTAAAATGAACGCAGCAGTCGTTAAGTGCACCCAGGGTCAGCAAATGGGGAAGTAAATGCCAGCTCCTGGCAGAAAACGTCGCAAATTATGTACCACAGGATGGTAAGTGGGAAGGAGGGTGGCAAGTAGCCCTGGGGAGGGCAGCTGCAACTTGAAATGGTCACTAAAGTGACCCGCTGTTAAGCGGAACACTTACCTTAAAGCAGTTAAGGAAAGCATCCGGTTTCTAAGTTGAGTAGTCCTCGACTTACAACAGTCCATGTCAGTCGCCAAGGGCCCAAATTTTGATCACCTAACTGTGGGGTTGCAGCGACGGTTGTTAAGTGTGAGGATGGACTGGTCATAATTCACTTTTTGCAGTGCCGTCGTAACTGTTGCTAAACGAACTTTTTCAGTGCCGTCGTAACTTCAAATGCTCACTAAACGAACTGGCGTAAGTCGAGGACTCCCTGTACTCGTGTTCTAAAATAATATAACTGAAGCAAGTACAGGGAGTCCTCGACTTACGACAGTTCATTTAGTGACCGTTTGAAGTTACGACAGCACTGAAAAATAACTTACGATTATTTTTCACGCTTACAACCGTTGCAGCATCCCCACGGTCACGTGATCAAAATTCGGAAGCTTGGACACCAGTTCATATCTATGACGGTCGCAAGGTCCCCGGGGTGTGTGAGTCTCGTGACTCCCTCTTGTGACCTTCTGACAAAGTCAACGGGGGGAGCCAGATTCACTTAACAACCGGGTGGCTAGCTTAACAACCGCCGTGATTCCCTTAACAAATGTGGCAAGAAAAAGTCGTAAAACGGGGCAAACCTCGCTTAACAAATTTCTCGCTGAGCAACAGAAATTCCGGGGTTCCGTGGTGGTCGTTAAGTCGTGGGCTGCCAGCAGTGGTTCTTTTTCGTTCCTGCATTCCCAACCAAGTCAAAGACTAGAAAAAAATTCAGCCCCCAAACCCATACAGCTAGAACAATTAATCAGTGGAACTCCTTGCTTCCAGAAGTTGTGAATGCTCCAACACTGGAAGTTTTTTTAAAAAGAGACTAGACAGCCATTTGTCTGAAACGGTATAGA